TTCAGACTTTGGCCGTCAGGCAGTTACCGGCCTGCAGCAGACCGCTCGACCGGTTTTGCCGGTACGTCGGGATCACCGTTGGTGTAGATAAGAGGTGGGATCGGGAGTCGCGACCGACGAGTGTATGGTTGCCCTTCGATGCAATGCGCTTGCACCCCCAGACTACCACGTCAGCTCCTCAACACTGTCCCCCCAGACGCTCCCTCATCAAGGGCAACTGATCAGAATATAAGCGCAAGACAATGGACACGTGTGCATCATCAAACCCCTCCCTCTACCCCCCCTCCCCCTCTCCGCCTCCCTCCTACACATCCCCCCACCCGCCACCCCCTTTACATTAACCCTCGCAGAAGCCCCTCCTCCTAGCTAGGAATATGAACCCTTGGTCTAACTCCAAGCTCCCATGCAGATGAAGTTTCATGGATCGGACGCTCATCTACCTCATCAATATTAATTACGACCGTACAGATGAAGTTTCATGGATACATTCAGTCGAGCTTGGAAGCGAAGGTGTGTATTTGTCCGTTCCCCCATTCCTTGTTTATTACCCTGAATTGACTCTCTCTCTCTCTCTCTCTCTCTCTCTCTCTCTGTCTCTCTCTTTTGTATGTGTGAGTGTGTGAGAGAGAGAGAGAGACAAGGGGACGGAGGAGAGGATAGTTCTATGCAACAGCATAATTATTGTATTGGACTAATCGACTGGCTGGGTTGGAGGAAGAGGAGAGAGAGCGCAGGCAGAGCCATACACTACGGCCACCAAGCTATCGGTTTCCAGCAAATGGCTATGGCTTTGCTATGGCTATAGCTATGGCTATTGCTATGGGCTATTGCTAAGGGTTTTCCTCACTAACCTCAGCTCACTAGTCACCGGTTATATCTACGCCATCGTTAAACCTACGGCCACGTTATAGTTATAGTAGTTATGGGATTTATTTATACCCATAGCCATAGCTATAACATAACACAGCTTTAGCTATAGCCATAGCTATAACACAGGGATAGCTAAGCCATAGCTATAACACAGCTATAGCTATACCCATAGTTGTAACTATTAAAGGAAGAGGAAGGCAAATCCACCATAGCCATCGCTGAAGCTACATCTTCTTCTTCCATCAAATCATTATATTTTTCCCTCTTCGCTCTCTCTCTCTCTCTCTCTCTCTCTCTCTCTCTCTCTCTCTCTCTCTCTGTGTTTTACTTACACGCACGTCCTCCTCCCCCTCCCTCCCCCCCCCCACACTGTTGATTAAAGCTTCAACGACAGCTTCGATCCTCGATACGCTTTCCCGTTACACCGTTGGTAGTAGTGTCTCCAGGACTCTACTGGGTTACAGCGTTGGTTACAGCTTCGGTTACAGGTTTGGCTGCCGCCTAACCTGTAAGGTTAGCTTGAGCTGCCGCCTAACCTGTAAGGTTAGCTTGAGCAGCAGCCTAACCTGTAAGGTTAGCTTGAGCTGCAGCCTAACCTGTAAGGTTAGCTTGACCTGCAGCCTAAACCTGTAAGGTTAGCTTGACCTGCAGCCTAACCTGTAACCGAAGCTGTAACCAAAGCTAAACAGTCTCTACTTTACAGGTTTAGGGTTACAGTCCAAGCTAAAACAGTCTCTCCTAGGGTTACAGCCTAAGCTAAACAGTCTCTACTAGGGTTACAGCTTCAGTTACAGGTTTGATTACAGACTAAGCTCAACAGTCTCTCTACTATGGTTACAGCTTCAGTGACAATTGCGGTTGGAACTTCGGTCACAGGTTCGGTTTTCGTTGTTGCCGCCTAAGGTAAACCATCAGCGAGGCCCTAAAAGGGTTTTCTTTTTTTTTTTTTTTTTTTTTGAATGACAACCTTTGTCAAGCGGATTGATTTTTAGTGTGATAAAATAAAATATTAATAAAAGACGTGTCCCTTTTGGGAAAAAAGAGAAAAAGAAAAAAAAAAAAACTTTTACAGTTTCTGTCGCTTGGGATATAGCACACAATTAATCTTTGAAATTAATAAAGTATCCGTGGAATTGCTGAGAATTTAATTTTTGTTATAAATCATTTTTAATTTTAATTAAGTTATCCGAGTGATATGAGCTCCTGCTTATCATATGGGAGAACAACCTCCCTTCCTCTCTCATTGGGAGGAAGGGTAGGCGGTTCTCCCATTAGTTGTCCCTTTGATAAGCTGGAGCTCTTATCGCTGGCAGAACCAACCGCCTTCTCCTCTCTCTCTCTCTCTCTCTCTCTCTCTCTCTCTCTCTCTCTCTCTCTCTGTGTTTACTGCCCCCTCTCCCCACCTCCTACTTCTCTCTCTCTCTCTCTCTCATTGTTAAACCCTCTTCTTTTTTTTTTCTTTTTTTTTTTTTTGTGGTTAAACCCTCTCCCCCTTTAATATCCCTCTCCCCACTTTTGCTGATCAGCCTCATACTTTTTTTTTTTTTTTTTTTTTATCAGCCTCTCACTTACTGCAACTGCTCGTCATTAACCGCGGTTTAGACATCATTAAATAATACATTATATAATAATAATAATAATTCTTTTTTTTCAAACGACCTTTTCAGGTTTTTAGAGTAATTCTTTTTTTTTTCCCCTAAACGAACTTTTTCAGGTTTTTAGAGTTTTTATTTTCAGAAATTATTTCAACCTTATCACAAAAAAAAACATAACCCAAGGCCATTTCCTTTTTTTTTCCTTTTTTTCGAAGGCCAGCTCTTTTAAAGGCAGATCATTTTTTTAACAAAAAATTGACGGAAAATAGTTTTTTTAATAATTTTTACAAAAATTTGAAGGGAAAAAAAAAGGTGGGTAATCTCGACATCATCGAGTTGCAGGACAGGACTTTTCTGTAAATAGGTTACACTTGTCCTTTTAGAATCAACGGACTTTTTTTTTGGGGGGGGGGGGGGGAAGAGGGGAAAGGGGAAGGGTTTAGGGGGGAAGGTGGGGGGGGGGTAATACCGTACATGGTCGTATCGTTCTTTTTTTTTTTTTTTTTAATGATCATTTCGTTCTTAACAGAAGGGAGGATACGACAAATTGCACAGATCGCCATAGTCACCAGGCCTTTTCCACATTATATATATATATCGTCAAACAGATATATATCGTCACATGAATATCAGAGCACAAAAGCGAAAAAAACAGAAGACAACAAGAAAAAAATAATTCGTTTTACATATATCGTCAAATAGAACTGGCCGGTAAACCGTAGGCAGAGAGGGAGAAGAGGACAACAAACGAGGGGCTGTGACAAACTGTTTCGTCGGAGTTTCACCGACTCATCAGGAGGCTGTATATATATCGCAAGACTGATTGGGCCGGAGCTCACTATATGCTCTCTCATTGCTGCGCAACGAAGGAAGTTTCGAAGAAGTCTCTCTCTGCCTGCCTTCCTACTCGGAAGACAATCCCTCGTTTTTGGGTGTTTTTTTTTTTTTTTTCAATAAATCCTCATTTCTAAGGTACCTTGAAAACGTTCTCCTACAGAGGATCGGGACACAAATCACAACTGCACAAACCTGCTTCGACATAACAGGATGAACCTGGTCGGCTTTTCAGGCCAGAGCCGACGTAACGGTTATACAGATCCTTGCAAGGAGCATTCTATCTCCCACATTAGCTCAGAGTCTCTTCCTCCTACTCTTCTCCCAAAAAAAAGAGAATCTCCACCTCCTCCTCCTCCTCCTCCTCCTCTTCCTCCTACTCTCTTCCTCCTCCTCCTCCTACTCTCTTCCTCCTACTCCTCCCCCTGCTCTCTTCCTCCTACTCCTCCCCCTACTTTCTTCCTCCTCATCCTTCTCCTACTCCAACTACTCTCTTCCTCTTCCTCCTCCTCCTACAACTCTCTTCCTCCCTCCTACTTCTCTTTGGTCGTTATCCTGAACATGACCGGCTTCACTTTCTCAGCTTCTCCTCCCCTCCCCCTCCCCCTCCCCCTCCCATTCCTACTCCCTACTTCTCCTTCCCTTCCTCCTGCTCCTACTCCTAATCTTCGATCCTTCTCCCTTCTTTTTTTCCCCCCTTCGATCGTTCTTCTAATCGTTGATCCTACTCCTAATCTTTGATCCCTTTTTTTTTTTTTTTTTTTTTTTTTACGAGAAAAAAACACACGGAGAACTTCTACTACAGGCAGGGGGTAAGATCCCGTGCTCGCGGTACCGGTCCCCGGAGTTGCTGGCTCCATTCTAATTCGTGGGGAGCAGCACGTGGCCTGGGAGGACGACCAGGTTAATCTAAATCTTCGATGTTAATTTAAACCTTTGATCCTAACCTTTTTTTGATCCTAACCTTTTTTTTATCCTAACCTTACCAATCCTAACGTACATCTCACTGCATGCCAATCTAGGCTAAATTGAAAGAAAAAGGATGAACCTGGTCATCTTTCGAGGCCAAAACAGTCCTTGTCGTTTCTGTTTGGATGAATCCGCTACTGCAGCTAAAAATAGCACCCGGTGTGTTGTGGCCGGGGCCTTATCCTCCAGCAGATCATTCCGCCCCCGCCTACCCACTCCCCCCGCCCCCCCC